TATCTGAAGACTGATACCTGCTATATAGATGCTAAGTATGTCTAATGCTCACAATACTTTTTTTTTAGTTTTGGTAGACCGTTTGTCGTTTAAACGCTTCGATTCGGCGGAGCTAAGGAAGATTGGAGATCGATAGTTATCGATCATACATCCGATCTCCTTAGTCCACCGAGATACACATACACATAAACAATACACTTGTGGCTCAGAAAAATGTTATTAACATGACTTCTTTTTGTTTCTTTTCAAACGAATTTTTTCTTTCTTTTCGTAACAGCAGGATATCATAAAAGATCCGCAATGTAAAATGTTTGACTGTTTGCTGAACACATAGAGGAGAATATACTCCATATGATAACGAACACGCACACACACACACAATACACACACACCCAACACACACATATATTTACACTTACACTTACACTTAGTTAGCAAGTTTGTAGTGCGAGATGCTTTCTAGGTGAAGTTGCTTTTGAAGGCACTGCGAAACGCTTGAGAACGAGAACATCTAAAACCAAATAGAATACTGCTTCAACTTTTCCTGCGCTGGAAGAACCAGAGTCTATAAGCCCAGTCACAAACACACACACTCCCAAAGACCCACACACACACCCCAAAAATAAAACAAACACTACAACTACAAGGCAAACTGGTAAACCGAAAGAATTTAGTAAAAGTTTTCTTGCGTTTCCCTTTGAAATTTGATACTCCTATGCATTTACCCCCTCTATATATATATTTATCCGTACATGTATCTATCTACCATTTTTGATTGACTTTTGCAGGCTTGTTTGTATGTATGTAGTAAGTATTTGCCTTGTTTCTGTGTGATGTCCTGTGAGGAGCGAATTGTCCCTGCTTTTGATAACCGAACCGAGCTTACCTTACCTTACCCCCTTAATTTTTCATCTCGTTTACAGCATTTACGGCTGCCGCAGTAACAAGTTTGAAATGCGCTTCAAAAATTGTGAATAGCTGCTGCCAAATGAGTTTTTAATATTGCCATTTTTATTTGATAACTCATTTTTGTTTCTTCTGCTTTTTTCAGTTTGCCGCTTAGCCTGCGCTTCATTGCCGTTTACTTTTCGTTTATTTTAGTATAATCCAAAACCCTTTTATTTGCAGCGTCAACTAACCGACCAAGCTCCCCGCCCCAAAAAGTATGCTACTGTTTTATAATTTGCTAATTTGCCTGCTGCTGCCGCCGCCCAACCAGCTTAAAACCCAACCAAAACCAAACTGAACCGAACCCGAACTAATCTACGATAGGTTTAAGTGCGTTTTGCCTTTTTGCATATGCGAACAACAAAGCCGGGGATCTGAAAAAACTTTTCCGCCAGCAACAAGTTAATTACAGTGGGTGGGAGGTGGTCTACAAGGGCGAAAGCCGTAATTACAGCACGAAAACATTGTTATTTTAATGGTGGGCGGCCACGGAGGGCGTGGTGTCACACATTTACATTTATTAACTCGTGTCCCGTGTGCCCGCAAAACTTTATTTTCACCTCTTTCCCAAAACACTTTTTTTTCGACGGGCCTTTTTCACCTTTATTTGCATAATTCGAAATCATGGGCCGTTAACGAGGCGGAAGATAGAACAGAAAAAACTGCGACAAACATACGGTTTTATCACTAGGCACTTGTTTTTTGCATATGCAGCTTTAGCTTAATTTTAAGTCTTTAATGCAAACCTATTTATTTTAAATTCTTCAATGGATTTTCGAACAATATAATTATTTCCTCTAATTTTTCTACCTTTTTTACATGCTAACACTCATGCGCAAAAAATCAACAATGATATATTACAAAAAACATGAAAACAATGTTCTCACCATTTGCATGCAACTCAAATGTTTATATCTATTTAATTTATGAATAACAACAATCACGCACGGATTTGGATCGAAAAAACAAACGCTGCATGGAAAACCAACAAAAACCCGATATTAAAACTATTATGTATACTTTTGTGTTGACACACATTCCTCTTTCTTTTTTGTTTCCCTCACCAAATCAAATCACACCGAAAAATCACCCACACAAAAATATATATTTTAATATAAATACCTTTCTCATAACGCATATTTGATTTGAGGCATGTTTTTTCGGCTTTTCGGCCAAATAAATATGGTCTCATAGCGAATCCGAAAATTCCCCTGAACGCTTCCTGTGTCATCTACACGGATGCCAGTGGCCAGGTACAGTGTGCCCTGACTATCGGCGACATCCGTAGGCTTCCTGCATGAGCGCTTGCTTTCCCAGTCTCAAGTTCCCATTATAGAGTTTGCAAAAATATCGATATTCCGATTTTTCTACTGGAAATATCGATATTATCGAAACAATATTGTGAGAATATCGAAAATATCGATATTTTTAAGCTCTACTCCTAAAGCTAAGAGTTATTCTGTCGAACCCCCCGAAAAAGGAAATAAAACACAACTAGAGAGCAGCAAGTATTAGCTGAGACAACTTTTTACCGTGTAAAATTAGAGTTTCGAAGGAACAGTCGTTGTGGGGTGGGCCATTCAGTTAATCAAATTAAATGCGCTGCCGCTCCTCAGACGAGAATCAACAGTCAAACAAAACAAACAAACAGGGCCAAAGGCGCGGCCCCGAGACGATGACGTTGACTTGGTGATGTCAGGAGAGGAGGAGCTATGGGCTGTTCTAAATCCGTATATATAATATATATCGTGAGACATGAGCTGGACACACCTCGGGGTGTCATAGCTGTTAGCAGTTGTTTGTTTACTAAACAGAACATCACACAAACCAACCAACCAACCACCCACAATCACGCCTACACACACCCACCTACAGATGTTACTCAATATATATAAACTGTGTATTCTCTCTATATATATATTTCGATATCGTAGCCCAACCGGAGAGGGGCCTCTTGTACACTCAGTGTCCGATGCTAGTGAACGGCACCTTTTACATAATTAGGTATGCAGAGGTCGAATCGAATCCAATTGAAACCCCTTCTTTTATCCTGGTTAATAAATCCCGGCGAGCTTCTTTCTTGGCCAATTTCTGTGTGCTTAGCTTTTGCCTTCAGCTTCAGCTTTTCGTGTGCTTCAGTTTAGCGACTTGGCGGCAAGGATCGAAAAAGCTTCGAGGCTTTAACTTTGAGTTCAGCTTGGCAGCTTTTGATTTTCCCACCCCCACCTCTTTGGTTGTTCAGGGCCCACGAAAAACTAATTATCTTGAGGCCTCGATATCTGGATGGTAAAGACATTAACCCCACCTTTTACGATCTCTCTTTCTCTTCTCTCTCTTCTCTTTTCTTATATTTCTAGTGCCGCCTATTAGGATATGTAATTGTTACCGCCTAGTACAGCCCCAATAGAACCTAAGCAAAAGCAATCACAATCAGATTGATCAGTTCAGAGATCAGAGAGCATTTTTGAGTTCCCTATACGAGTGAGTGAGTCCATCTATAGATAGCTATGTATAGGCGCTTCGCTTCCGAAGCTTCTTTAGCTTTTCTTGGCCCTGAGTTTCTGTTGATCGAATACTTGCTGCTTCCACAGAGTGTGTTTTATTTCGTGGCAAACTTTATTTCTCAGCTATGCGTTTAAGTTCCACACATACGATATATAAGTACTATCCCCGCAGTTCCCCGAATCAAAGGACTAAAACAAAAAACCCACTGAAAAACGAAAATGCGAGGAACACACTATGATTACAGAATCGCAGAACCCCAATTTCAATTCATTTGCAATGCCATCTTATGATTTCAGTCTTCCGCCTCTTTTTTCGTTTAGATTATTTAAGTCGATGAGAAAACTAGCTTAACATACGAGTATCTATATTAAATGTATCATGTGAAACCGATAAGAACGAACGTTCGAGACATACCTACTATACCCACATATCTAGTTAGCTCTATTAACTACGACTAACATCTGGAACTCCACCAACATCAAGCAATTGTAAAACCGAAACCGAAACCGTATTTATCTAACCAACCATTAACCATTCTAGTGAACCATTTCAATATTATAAGATATAACTAATTTGTGCTCTTTTTCTTTTCTTTTTTCTGCTCTTCTCTTTTTTTCGAAACTGAAAACCGATGATATATAAAAAAAAAATTCCCAAACCAAAAAAAAAAACCCCGAATCACACGAAAACACACAAACTCTTTTTGATTTCCTGAATTGGTTTCCGTTTGCATCCTGCCATCTCCCAAAAATAAAACCAAAAACTATGTCTGAACACACAACAAAAACTCAACTCATGCCCAATATAGTTACTGGACACCCTCCCGGTGTGCCAAGATTTTAATAGATCTATGTGCAGTCGGTTAAATTGTAGATTCGTTCATTTAACTGAAGGTAAGTGCATGTGCCTAAGTTTCTTCCTTTTCCTCAGTTCACTTTATCCTTACCTCTATCTTTATCCGTATCCCTACTTTGGGTTTAGTTCTAAATCTATATCTAAACGCTTTTAGTGCTACCTTCTCCTAGACACCGTTGAGATGATTTTCCGATTTTATCCTAAGTTGTAGTTAGGAAAACACCAAAAGTTGTACTCTTTTGATTTGATAAATTGGCTGCCGATTTGATTTAAAACTACAAAAAATGGTTGACTATTTTCGTGATAATTTGTTATCTACTTTTAAGTTTGGCTTTCCGTCAAGATAATTACACACACAAAAATACACAAAAGTATGGAGAAATTGTAAAGAACATTATTCGTGAGGTTCTGTTTTTATTCTTAGACGGCTAAATCTGAAGCAAAGTCTTCACCCTTTCACTTTCATAAGAACTCATGATGTAAAATTGTGTGAAAGTCAGCTGCCGTAAAGATCACTTTATTATTAAAAACTACCGAAAAACTTGAACAAACTTGAAATTTTTTGGAAAAGCTTTCACTGTTTTCTACTGCCAAACCAACCTAATAGCTAACTTGCAACCGACTTACTAACGCCCTGCTCTCTCTTTCTATCCCCCCCCGCTTTTCGAAAACCGATACGATACGATCTCCAGATGACAAGGTCGAGGTGATTGATCAACGTGTTGCTGTCTGCCGCGATCACGCCAATAGCCAGTGCCGTCGCAAGCAGTGTAAATACTACCACATACCGATTGTCCTGCCGCCGGCCAACATCATGGCGGCCATGATCACCACGCCCGGTGATCAGCAGCCGGCTGTTCCAGTGGCCACAACAACAGCAGCGGCAGCAGCAACAGCCGGCTACAACGGCGCCAGCAACTTGATCATCATTGAGCCGCAGCAGCAGCAGCAGCAACAACAGCAACAGCAGCAGCAGCCGCCGCAGCAGCAGCAACAGTTCAGCTACCACAGCAACAGCAGCAATAACAACTACTACCACAGCAATGCCAGCAAGCAGGCAGCAGCAGCACACGCCAGCAACATGTACCAACAGCAGCAGCAACATCAACAACAGCAGCAACATCTGCAGCAGCAGCAACAGCAAACAGCACACATCACCTACCACTGCAGCTCACCCTACTCCCCCTCGTCGGCCTCCTCGTCGTCCTCCTGCTCGATAGCCACCTCGCCCACCCTCTCGTCGGCCACCACGCTGTCCACCACCTCGACGGCCACGATGCCCACGCCGCAGCAGCAATATCCGGCGACCTTTCTCAAGGCCCCCGCCTACTACACCGATGCCACGCCCACTCTGGTGCTGAGCAGCGACTACAACTCCAACTGCATCCCCATCCAGGCGACACCCTTCATATCGCTGCAGGCCGCCCCGCAGCAACATCTGCTTAAGTACACCACCCAGGCGGCGCCACCGCAGCAGCAGCACACCTTTGTGGGTCACCACTACCAGACGCAGTTGGGTCACCAGGTGGTGGCCACCACTGTGGCCGCCATTCCGGCCACCACGATCACAGTGGCGCCGGCAACAGTGGCGTCCCCATCCAGCTGCATCTAGAAGAAAGGGGGGGTATTCCCAGAAACATGTATGTTAAGTCATAAGGGTGTGGGTTTCTTCTGAAATCTCCAGAGATTTGAAAGCCATAAAATATATATTTAAAATATTTAAAGAAATTTTAGGCGTTTTCAAATCTCTAGAGATTTTTAATGAACCTACGCCACATAGGATTTTTTATTAAAAGTTTCTCACCTACTTTATCCATTGGAATACTCGTTTTTTGTCAACTCCACTTCACCTAGATACTTATATTGCATACTCCTCTCACAACCTAAGCAACACAATACGTATACCAATCATGAATATACTCCCAAAAGCGATGCTCCAATAAAGATTGGAAGAAATCAAAAGGCAGAACTTCTCCGGAAAAAGGTCTAAGCTAGTAAAGAAAACTTCAAACAATCACATTCTACGAAACACAAACATTGAGACACACAAAAAGCAGTAATGGAAGTTTTTGATGAAAATTAAAGGTTGATATGAACTATTTACAAAAATAAGAACCGAAAGTACTATTTGGGGGAGGAGAAAGGTAAAACTCTACAGAACTATTTCGTACGTAAAGCAAGACTTTAACGTGTAAGCATCCCATTTACACATCAAGTGACATGCATTAGAGGGAAAATATTGAGTGACAGCTCTACAATATTACAAAGCAAAACAAAAAGAAAGCAAAAAAAAAGAGTGTTGTTAAATGCAAAAGGAAACAAAAGAAAATTAGCAATTAAAAATTGAACTTAATATTACAAGAGGATGAACGTTGAGGGAGAGCGCAGTTGCATTAAAATTAGTTACAAACTATTTTAAACTCTAGTGTTCCATATTTCAATGCAAGTAAAAATAAAGGTACATAAAAGTGGATAAACATTTAGTGAGGAGTGTTAATATTAGCTAAGGTTAAGCCTGACAAACCGTTCTCCATGGCAAATAGTCAAAATTAATCAAAAACCAGAATCTACATAGGCCATAGATAAGCAGCAAGAACAACTAATAATAAACACTTAACAATAACAATAATAATAATAACGGTTAATGATAACGATTAACGATAACGATGGGGATGAAGATGAAAAAAAGTACAGTCACGTCCTATTTTTGCAACAACGATTTACTACAAGCGAGAGGCAAACGATACGGAGATTTTATTAAGCAGAAAGCAGAGATCAGATACAAAAAACATAAAACAGAAAACAGAGTACAGAAACCATAATCCTTTTTTACATTTTATAATAACGATCAAGATAAATCAGCAAAACTACAGCAAGAGAAATCATATTTTTTATATACAAGCGGAAAAAACGGAAGCATCAAAAACAACACTGATAAACAAAATCGAGATGAGGTAAACAACAAGAAATTTAATCAAATCTAAAGGAATAAGCATTTTTTGCAACCACAAACAAAGACGGAGACTTTTTTAAAGTGTATAATTAACTCATTTAGCTGAATTCTCTAGTAAATGAAAAAGAAAGCTATTAACACACAGCTCACACAGAAATCGAAATTGTACCGTACTATATATCTTCCTATGCAAACGATTTGTAAGCACTATATTTGTATATAGAGACATGCCCACTATATGCGACATTTGCGAATCCAAAACTTATTTCGATTTCCGATTAAATGTTCGTTTACAGTTTGGCGCTGTTGTAATTAAGATTTGTGACTTGGTTTTTTATACACTCAAACTCAAGAACGTATTTGGATTGGAACACACAGAATAACAGAATTACAATAAATTGCAGAATGGAAACTACTTATTATATACAAAAGCATACGTATATACACTATATGTATATATACTACATATATTTATGTCTGTACACGTATAAATATATACATTAACACAAATATATTGATTATATATATATATATATTTACTAATGGCAACTAAACATGAAATGTGATCTTTTAAAGAAACAAAAAGTAAAAGTAAAAGAAAGAAAATAAAAATAAAATTAATAGTTTAACGAAGGCAGACAGAATTGGATAAAGGTAAAATGGAATTAAAGCGAAAAGCGATTACTAGAGCCGGATAGTTAAACGTAATATTAAATTGGTTCCATCTCGAGGCAGGCGTTTGAAAATATCTCCATTCAATAATGATAACACCAATAATACTCGACATCTAGCTAATAATTGTTCAACAATAACAGATTTATCTACATATACATTTAAGGGCTGGCTATAATATACGGAAATTTGTGTTTTCATCACTATCACTATCACTACTATCACCTACTATCCATACACCTGAGTTCCTCTATTTCTCTTAACACTCAGATACCGACTTCAGCACCTTAACCACTCGTAGTAATACTCAACTTCAGCTCGCTCTCTTCGAAGCCTCCTTACTCCACTAAAACAAAACTTAATCGACCACAATGGAAGTCGTATCTCTCCCGTACTCCAAATAAGAATGCCTAATAAGTTTCCGTCCATTATAATCAGACCTTAAATCTATGTGCAACGACAGCGAATGATGAAAGTGGAACAGTTGTAAACGATGAATATAAAATTAACTAAAGTAAACAAGTAAAATAAATGATAAATTATAAACACACATACTCGTAGATTCTCAAAACTAAAAACTCGTCGACATTTTAACAGTTACTAACATTTATTATAATAACGACAAATGAGTAATACAATAAGCTGCAAAATGGCAAACAAAAAAAAAACAAATGAAGTTTTGTGTAAAAAATAAATGTTCTTAAAAGAAAAAAATTAAAAAACGAAGCAAAAAAAATACAAAAAACCAATAAGTGGAAATGAGAAATCCTAGTTACTAAGCAAACTAACTACAAAACGTATAGACACTATAGAATCATTGTACCATACGGGATTTCAGCGGAATTTTGTTCGACTCGACATCTCCTCTAGTATGTGTAGACTGGCATGCAACTTGACATGGCCGCGCATGTAGAATAGCACGAGTTTGTAAACTAGAAACGAAACTTTTATTTGCCTTAACATCAAACCAAGATATACACCAATATATACATTGATTTCGATGCGATCCTTTCAACCTTTTGAATAGTTTCGAAAACGAAAATTCACTTGACGCATGTACATGGCGCTCTGAAAAACAGAAACAGAAACTAAATAGCAGAAACTAAATTTCTGAAACGAGGGGAATTGGATAATGGATTAATGTAGTTATGTGTAGAGTCTCCTTCATTGTAAGTCATAGTTATTATTGTTAATTTTAATTTATATTTACACATATATATTAGATCATTATGATTATTAATTGTGAATATGATGTGATGTGTTTATTGAAAGTAAAAACAAAAACGAAACTAAAACAAAAATACAATTACTGAATGTTGCAACGTAAAGAAAATGAAAAGAAAACTAAATGTATTGTAACCCCAAGAGGAAAGTGAAGTAGGGGAATTACAAGAAACCTTATCGAGAATGTGAGGAAAAATCAATTTTACTCTACTTCAGATCGTAAATAAGAGTAATGTTAAATTACACTATGATACATGGGCATATGTTTGTATATGTACTGTAAGTAGTTATTCATTTTTGTCAGGTGATATCAACGAATTTTTCGATATGTTCTTCAAGCAGAGCCCACTCTCTGCCCCACCCCCAACTACCCCTATTATCTCTATCTCTATATTGTTTGTAATTGAGTTAAGTTTCCCATATTATTTCTTCGTCTTTTTTCTTGTTTTTTGTTTTGTGATATTCGAGGAAAGAATGGAAGTATAATTGTTGTTCGTTGTTTACTTTTTGTGTTCATATATATTTTTGTAGTTTGTTTTATTTTTTACAAATATACATTGTATTAAACATATATTAAATATACATTAATGAACTAGTATATACAACTTAACTATACACATATACAAATAAAGATGAATTGGAATAATAGATCTTAAGGAATGGAGTTTTTGGCAGGAGAAAAACCACAAAAGTAAAACTGAACGAAAGAGAACAAGTTTTGGGCAACGACTCTGACGAATGATAATTGATAGCGATTACATATACTCCTAAATAAAAACAAAACAACCCAAAAAAATGAAAATTTTTTAAAAATATTTAATAAACAAATCATTATTACCTATTATTATTATTATATTTATTATTATAATGAAACAAATTTAGTTATTATTCATGTAAAGAACGAACCACGAAGGCAAAGCAAAGCGAAAACAAATCTTGCGACAATGCAACAACAACAACGAGCAGAAGAAAGTGAATAGAAGATGAAATGATGAAAATCAATAAGAAGCTGGAAAAGCAAGTGAGAAAGATGATGAAGAATGAAATTATATTGATAAAGAAAATACAACATTTAAAGTTATTTAGCAGTAAATGGGAAAACAAATTAAAAACAAAACATGAAAACAACAAACATCAATGAACAACAACAACAACAAAAACAATGAAATACAATAAAACACAAGAAATAAATTACAAAAAAAAGAACAGTACTTTTTCTTTGGGAAATTTCGGCAACGAGTTTGGAGGAGTTTCTCTCATTAGGGGGTTATAAGAATGGAGAACGGAGTGGAATGCATATATCCTCCTCTGAAAATGCTCACATCCCAGATGCATTATTTCTGCTTAACCGCAGAGCCAGAAAACAAAAAGGAGGCCAAGTCGACAAAGGGACTTGGCTCAAATTTGCTTTCCCTTTTTGCGGGTGGCAGTGGAAAACTAAGCGTATGCATGCACACGTAAATTCCCCAAGTGCCAGTGCAGGAAAACCAAAAAAAAAGAAGAAAGTAAGAAAAATAGAGGAAAAACTAGGAGGTAAAGGGGCGAAAGCGAACGACATGAACCTGGCACATGGCAGTGAAAAATGTGCAAAAAAGTGAAAAGAGCGGGGCGGAGAAACTTTGCCACTGCCTGCAATTTTCCTCTGCATTTTTCCTTGCAAGTTGGCTTTCTCCAACCACCCATCCTCTGACGCATACACACACGTGCGTATGGAATGGCACGTAAGTTGTCTATTTCACACACCAACGCGCATCGCATCGTTTGGCAAAGGAGAAAAACGGAGAAAATGGCATCTGCGAGGGTCCTTCGGGGACTCCAAACTCCCGGGCTCCCCTTTTCGATGACTTGGTGGCCATATGGCGTCGTAACTGTTGCAATTAGTTGGCAGCGGACACAAAATATTGCCCCCCAGCCACCACTCACTTGGCCAAGTTAGGTTCCCCCATCCCATCCTTTATTCCTAACATTCCCCTAACCAACCGGCCAAAGTGTAATTAATGGCTGCGGATTATTGATATCGAAAAAGGTGAAAATGGTCGAGCTGATAGTGCCGCATAGTTGAAAAATGGCCAGAGATTATTACTCAAGCGAAGGCGAAGGCAAAGGTGCTGAAATGGAAATTCTTCTGGGTTTTAAAGAACTATTACAAGTAATTTTCATGGGGGCCTCGGGTAAGTTACGATGTAAAAAGGTTCGTGTTTATAAAGAAAAAACACATAGATAACAAATTTGAGTTATCTCTCTTATATATACAACTTTGGCCTATCTACATACCATTCATAGGAATTTTACACACTGATAAAAAGAGACAGTTGTAAATCCAATGCAATTGAACATATTTTGATAGGCAGCTTTCCTTAAAAATAAAAATAAAACTCAAATTTTAAGAAAGACTTAATAAGATTATTATCGTACCTAATCTTGATTAAAATATTTTGTAAATTAATACAATAGAACACTATTCATTTTTTCTAAAAGTGTAAGTAGTCCTCCAGAGTGATTTTCTTTAATATTCCCCACAAAGTACCTGTTATTCAAATTCTGACAAGAGATATTTTTAGAGCCAACACCTGACCGAGCACCCATTTTGCCTGCTGCTATCTGCCATTCCTTGGGGATTATCCCTCATATCGCTGGCTTCAATTGGCCGCACTATCAGCCCGGAGAACATCCATTAGGGCAAGTGGGGTTACACGGTCATGGCATACAAATTAACACAGAAATTGCTTTATTATCAGGCGCAAACCCCCCCTGGCACACCACCCCCTCCCCCCTGCCACGCCCCCTTATCAGACGGCCATTGACAATGTGTGTGCGATATGGGAGCGAACGAGGAGAGTACTTGGATATATGGGCGCCGGGCACTTTCGCATGATGTTGTTAATGATAATGCCGCTCCAAAGTGTCGTGCCTGTCAGTGAGTTGGACCCCTCCCGTCCTCCTAACAGCGAACCCTTCCTTTCCAGGAAAGTGGGTGGTCGGTGGGTGGTGGACTTTACACCGCCTTGAATGTTGGATGTTGGCTAGCTGACGTTGATGAGACATGTGGTGCGCTGCCGCTGCTGCTGCTGCTGGGCATCGTAAAAATCATTTCCCGTCGTACATAACACGTAACGTGGCGTTTATGTTTACGTCTCGTTGTCGCTGACGTTGTCCTTGCCACACACACACTCACATCCTGTCGCCCAGGACATGAAAATTTAATTGACGCTTAAAGTGAGTTTAAAGGGAGCAGGAGAAAGCTCATTAAATTAATTTAATCACGTTAATTAAAAATAGCTCCAGTGTGTGAGATCCGTTTGTTTGTTTTTAGTAAAATTTAATAGTGTCAAGCAAAATATTTACACAGCACGTACACCTCGCACACCTGCAGGCCAATGGAATCGGGATACAGGATACAGGACAATCCCCCCTTTGTCCCCTTTCGCTACAGGATTTCCCTTGGCAGCCACACTTGTTGTTGAACAATTTACGTGTCAATAAACGTCCTTGGGGGGATTAGTAATAATTTAAAGGGTTCGTTAGCCAAAGGTTACGAATATTCAAGCGATGGATAATGGGGGACCACGGTGGTTGGCTGAACAGACTGCTGGAATTCATACACAGCACAAAATATTATTATTAAAAGCTAACTATTTCAATACAAAATCTTAGTGAATAAGGTCCTTTTGGGTCAAAAACTGTGGTACTATTTTAAATATATATATGTTATTTCATATTTATTCATGAAATCATGTTTGGACCAGTTGCGGATCCAGATTTTGGTCGTTGTGGGTTTTTTAATATATATTCTTGAAAGAACATTTTTTAATAACCAACTAAGAGATTATCACTTTTTATTTGCTGCCTGCGTCGCTTAGAATCAATACAAATAACATAATTTACTTTTCAAAGTAATATTTATACATTTTATTTTTATACATAGATAGTTAGTTTATAAGAAATACTTATAGAAAAAGTCATATTTATACCCGTTACTCGTAGAGTAAAAGGGTATATTGTATTCGTGCAAAAGTATGTAACAGCTAGAAGGAAGCGTTTCCGACCCCATAAAGTATATATATTCTTGATCAGGGTCACTAGCCGAGTCGATCTAGCCATGTCCGTCTGTCCGTCTGTCTGTCCGTCTGTCTGTCCGTCTGTCTGTCCGTCTGTCTGTCTGTCTGTCTGTCTGTCCGTATGAACGCTGAGATCTCAGAAACTACAAAAGCTAGAAGGTTGAGATTTTCCACACATATTCTTGGGCTTCCTACGCAGCGCAAGTTTATTTCAGACGAGCGCCACGCCCCCTCTAACGCCCAGAATCGCCCACTAATGATTTTAAAATGTGCCTGGCGGTCACACCTTTGAAGATTTCCGAGAAGTATAAATGCAATTTTGTTGTGTATATTTATACCTATCGAAATGTAGAAGACATTTTTCAAATCGGACCATTCATTAAAAAGTTATACGCAATCCAAAAATATATAACCAACTCCCTCGCACTCCCTTTAGCCGAGTGACGGGTATTAGATAGTCGGGACACGAACCCGACTATAGCGGTCTCTCTTGTTTTCTATTATGTAGAGTGCATTCGCTTTTGGGCCTAATCCTCATTTCTGTACGTGTAAGAGTGGTTTTATTATTTTGAAGAGGTATCCAAAACCCAAAACCTTTAGCTCCGGGTGTGTTAAGGAGGACCTTCCCATTGAGGTTACTGTAATTGTTTAAAGTTATAAAAATAGCATAACGTCTTAATTTAATATTCTTACCTCCGATTCGTGTCGAGGTACCACCAACCTCCTCCGTAGCGTTTTCCGTAGTTCCTAGCATTATCCCGGTCATGAGTGACAAATTTCCGTTTCTCATGCTCTTTAAGGGAATCTCCCGCTGTTCCAGAATAATTCCCTACCACTCTCAGATCGAAACCATCCTTCTCACTTCCAATTTTAAAATGATCATATCGGGCGTAGGCACTAGTTCCATTTTGGATCCGAACCCTAATGAAAAGTTCGTATGGCTTTGCCTCCGTCATGATGTGCAATTTTTCCAGCCCGAAGAAAAACTCTCTGTTTATGTCACCAAATCCATTTTTGTATTCGTCCCACGTTCGGTTGAAACTAGTAGAGTTGTCGAATCGCTTCTGGATTACCATCCAACCACACGATATACATGGAGCTTCAAATGTTTTTATTCCGGGAATCGTAATGTTGTATATGCCATCTGGTCCTTCGCGGGGACATCTGTCCCTTTCTCTGCACTTTGAAAGTTTGTCTTGCAAGATCTTAGTAGAGGAAACCAAAGAATTTACTTGGTTCTTCAGGGCACTGCACTGCATTTTGGTATCAGGTTTTCCCGATTTTCCCGTTTTTCCCTGTTTGGCTGCAACGGAAAGCCAAAACAACACAAGCAGCACCAAAATACTGAATTTCATTTCCTAGCACTTCTGAAGAGTTTTACAATCTACTTGACAGTGAGCTAAAAGATTTCACGCATATTTTATTTAGTAGCTATTCCATTTAGTTTCAGTTTACACAACCCCACTGCCAAATTAAGAATCCGCCACTGGCGGATTATTATTATTTCATATTATAATATATAAATATGTAAAATTTGAGTATTATTTCTTGTTAAACAGCTTTTCAGACAAATTTATTGTTGCTTACTTTTTGAATACAAAATTTTCTTTAATTTTTTTCATTTAATTATAGTTTACACAACCCCACTGCCAAATTCTGAATCCGCCACTGGCCCAAAAATTATTTCATATTATAATATATTATTATGTGAAATTTGAGTTTTATTTCTTATTAAACTATTTTCCAGAAAAATGTATTGTTGCTTCCTTTTTGAATACTAAATTTTTCACACGAGTGAAGGGGATATATCCAACAAATCCCCCTTCCCCCAAACCAAAGTCTTTATCGAATCGACACATTAAGAATATCAGGCGGAACTAAATATATTATGCGGACAAAGCCTTTAGCTCTGTTTAGTGTTAAGTAGATTTGTATACCACTTCACACGTGCTAGAAAATGAAATCCAGTATTTTGGTGCTGCTTATGCTGCTTTGGCTTTCCGCTGCAGCCAAGCAAAGGAGATCGGGAAAATCGGGAAAACCGGATACCAAAATTCAGTGCAGTGCCCTGAAGAACCAAGTGAATTCTTTGGTTTCCTCTACTAAAGTCTTGCGAGACAAACTAGCAAAGTGCAGAGAAAGGGACAGATGTCCTCGCGAAGGTCCAGATGGCATATACAATATTACGATTCCCGGTATAAATACAGTTAAAGCTCCTTGTATCTCATGTGGTTGGATGGTAATCCAGAAGCGATTTGACGACTCGACTAGTTTCAACCGATCCTGGGACGATTACAAAAATGGATTTGGTGACATAAACAGAGAGTTTTTCTTGGGGCTGGAAAAATTGCACATTATTACAAAGGCAAAACATTACGAACTTTTAGTAAGGCTTCGGAACGAAAATGGAAGTGCCTACGCCCGATATGATAATTTTAAAATTGGAAGTGAAAAGGAGGGATACGAGCTGAAATCGTTGGGAAAACATTCTGGTACAATGGGAGATTCCATTAGAGGGAATGAGAACCATAAATTTAATACCTATGACCGGGATATTTCTGAGGGCTGCGCAGGAAAGTACGGAGGAGGTTGGTGGTTCCTAACCGGCTCAGTCTGTGGTAATACGTATGTACATTGAATTTGTAAGTTATTCAAATCGTAAACCCTAAAAAATTACAGTGCACTCAATGGTAGAGGCCCAACCACATTTTGGCATTCTTTTTATGCGATTTGGGGCCTGGCTAAGCGCTTGGAAATGAGGATTATGCCTAAGTGCCAATGAGTATCTGGTTTTGTGGATTTCAGTCTACATAGTTCTATTTTCCTATATGTATTTCTTGTAAACTAGCTAAAAATTAAAATAAATTATTAATATTGTCAAAAACTTAAAAAGTGGGACCATCTTTTATTTATAAAAGAAAAATATAAGAAATGTATTGCAACTAAACTATATTTATGGCTCCAAAACTTCGCAGTCATCTTGAGATAAACCCTCAAACTTGCACCGAATAATCCATATCCAACCTTATCTGCCTCTGCAGACGCTTTTCATGGCTGCTTAATAAAAATTAACTGGTAATTATGTTTCAACTGGCGCCCAACACCCAGGCAAAATGGGAAGTAAAAGTGCCCAAGTGGGCGGGACCACCGCAAACTTAATTTCTGCACTAACCAAACGCTTCAATTAACAGGAACAACAAGTTTGGGGCCAATGGCCAGGATCACGACCACGACTTCCACTACTTTCTGGTCTTCTTCCGACTTCCCAGGCACCACTAAATTTCGTTAAGTTTTAGGGGAAACTTTTTTGGTAGCACAAACTTATTGCAAAGAGAACTAGGGGAGGGGCGAGAAGGCGAAGGTATTGCTCATGAAAAATTTAACCAGCCAAGCAAGGGTAGTCGAGTCGAGAAACTTAAATTTTATTGCCTATAAAGACGCATTAACTTATGCCTGAGTGGGGCGGAAGTGGAAGTGGATGTGGATCTGGATCTGTGCCTAAGCGGAAACGGAAGTGGTGGGACGAAAGAGGCGACAAATGTGCGTGCGTAATTTATTCGCAAGCTGGGTGACTCTTACATAACAGGTAGATATTTGTAAGGGAGTACGAGTTGGATGGCATAAATTGAAGTCTACTTTTTTGCCTTTAGAGCGCCTGCCTGCAGTTTTTGTGGCCTTTGCGGCTCCATTGTTTTGCGGCCGACGAAAACTTTTCCCTATTGATCAGCACAAAAATGTGCTCCTAATTGAAATGTTGCCAAAGTAAATCTTTGCCTCCGTCTCCGACAAATCCCTCAAGGTGCTTGATATTAGAGCGGCTTTTACAACTTTTTGATAGAGCTTATAGTTTGGATTGAGCCAAACCACTTTGCCTAATAAGTTGCACTAAAGTTATACTCATAAATAAGTAAATGGTTGGGCAGCTGGGCTTACCAATGGGTTTATTGCCGGGCTCATTAGGGGAAGGCTTAGCCAATGGGTTCCGGGGTTGCATAAATACACAGAAATTAAATATTAAATGTTACTGATACGGGAAAAATCAACAATTATTTATTAGAAATTCCTTTAAGGTTTTACAGTTTTTCTAAATAATACATTTAATTGTATTTTTGTTGTATCTCCTATATAATAAATAACAAAATTGGCTTACAAAAAATACCATAATAATAGCTAGCGTCTGCGAATGGTAAAAACATTTTTCCACCAGGGAAATTTAATCATTTTTATACTGCTCCTCGGGGCACTTTTACTTTTGGCACGGCACCTAACCTTTTGCCCCCTTTCAAAACCCCCTCTGCAATATATAATTGCTGCCACCGCTTGCAACGTCTACACAACTTTGTCTGACCATAAATTTGCATTCCTGCTCCTTGGGTTCCTTTTACTCGCTTCTTACCTTTTTGCCAGGGGAACTAGAAATATGGCCATTGGTGTGGAGGCAATGGAGGGGCGGGCAGGGGGAGGGGCCAAAGCAAAGGTGGACATAAAGTTTGCTTAGCAAAATTGCAGAGGCCGGTTGTAGGTACATAAAAGTGCACATATAAAGGTGGGTAGACTGCTATATATGTAACAAAAGTGCATTGCGAATAATCAAGCGACCTGTGAGTAATGTGGTGTGATACGAAAATTGCACTGATTTAGTGCCCGAAATTTGCCGGGCCATTTGTTTTAGCCAACTGTCCTCCCGGCGGACTTGAAGATACCGTGCCAGACATCGGCAAATCCACCTAATTGCCCAAACTTAAACCCAAACTGAAAATGTGTATACCGAAAAATGTGAGAGTGCAGCCATGGAAATTTTTAATCAGAAAAACCCCCAGCAGGTTGCGAAAATTTTCTGTTGATTTTGTGAATTTTTCGCACTGCCATCGCGTCGCATGAAAATTTCACCAGCTGAATCAAATGAAACGTAATGCACTCGGTATGCAAGTTCCTCATTTTCCTACTCTTCTTTTTTTTTGCCAGTCGGAGCTGAATTGACTAAATTAACTGGCGCTGGCAAAAAGTTTGTTTGCCCTTCAGACGTTTGCTTCACTGCTTTGGTTTCGACCAGGAAAGGAGAAAAAGAGCCAGGGAGCTGGGGAGCAGAGGATCGGGGCAGGATGCCTGGAAAGGTTAGATGGTGCACAAAAGATTCGCGCTCAAATATTTGATTTTTGCTGAAATTATGCAACGCTGCATTAGGCAATCGCCGAAATGCACAAATGCGCTTTCAGCCACAATGGAACGAAGTTTAAAGGTCATCCAGAGAAATGCCAAATCGGAATCTAAAAGGAAATTCAGGAACATACATTTTTAATAGCGGAAACATTGACTAACTATTCAGGATTTGGTTGTGGAGACAATTTTCAATATACTTTTTGAATACCACATTTCCTTTTACATTTGTTTTGTTCGAAATTCAAGTCGTTTAAATAATAACCTTTTATCAAGACCTATTTTCATTATTATCTTTCCAGAGCAACTAAAGGGAATCGCAGATCAAAGAAGCACAAGGACACCACGTGGTGTTTTGCATAAAAGACAAGTCCAGGAGGTAGGCATCATCCATATGCCCACAGCCACAGCTACAGGCAGATGCAATGCAACCAAATCCCGTTGACAGTCAATCGGAGCCGCAGAAGGACTCAAAGTGATTCATGGGCTTCGCGCAGACGACTTCGCCCGGAGTTATTGAAACTCTGCAGTCGCAGCAGGACCAACATTTCGGCAAACGCAAAAAGGACCTGAAGTTGCACTGCACAGGCGGAGGACAGTACTTTGCATAAAATATTGAGATTCCGTGTTAAGCGGCACTTAATGCAAATGCGGTCGAAGGTTGTCAGCGGGAGGTCAGAGGTCAATAATGGCTACACGGGATCAAAAGTGGAATATACTTTAGTTCAAGAGAAGCACATGGTAAAACATTTCACCAGGAAATAATACAAAATAATAAAGCAAAAGAAAAATAAATGAATCATTAAAAGCTAAATGTCCTGGAAAAAAATACGAAAATAATAATGAATATAACATTATTAAATTATATTAAAATTAAATATTTAAATAATAAAGTAAAATGTAAAATATTAAAATATTAAAATATATTGAACAAATATTTGTTTGGAGCTTGTGGATCACTTGGGGAATGATCTGAAAAAAACTTTTCTAAAGTAAGAATATATGGTACAAATATGGAGCTTGTAGCTTTACTTATTTTGGGGTCTTCTTTGATTCTTCTTCTTATAAAAAGAGTTTAATCTGCACAGATTTAGATTATAACTGGGAAACAGATGTATTTAATTAAATTAACTTTTAATCTGGTAGCTCGTCTAGCCAAACAAGAACCCTCCCCAAAAAAGGGGCGGAGTTTGGCTGCCAAATATTG